AGTAAATAGCTAAATTTATTTTAAAAATCACATATAAATTGTAAAATAAAGCAGCCCTCAACATCCCTACAAAACACTACTACCTCTGCATTCTTCACTTGCATCTTTGCCATCTGTGCAGATCAGGTTTAAAGGAACTGAATGTAGCCTGAGCTCTTACAAAAGCCATTACAGCATTGTCAGTGTCTTAACCTGCATATAGAGGACACATACAAGTTTTTCTTTTTCCAAATACACAGTATGACCTCTCCATGTGAAAGCTCAGAACCTCCAGAATTCACTCACAGGTGCTGAGGTTTACGTAGTGAGGATTCAGATCAGAGAGAGTGCTTTTAAGTTCAAACTGCACTGAAACTGCCAACCCAAATTATAGACTCATGTGAGGCTCACTCTGCTTTCTGATTGGATAACTGTCTGTCATATCCAATGTTTTTGAAATTAAGAATAAATCAGAATTGCACGTCTTACCTGTAAAAAATATATCCGATTTGAACATGTCTGTCTCATATCTGGGGGCATAGATGGGTTGTGTTTATGAATTTAAAATCAAAATCTTACGTATGGTTCCTTTAAAGTGCCTATGACAGGTTAGACTTTTTTACTAAAACAGTAAAGATCATTATAATGAAGATTTTTGCAAAAACATTCACAATAGTTTTCACTTTCTGGTTGGATATTGTGACATCACACTAAGGAATTGTAACCTAGAAAAACTTCACTAATGCACATAGAAATCATTATCCGACAAATATAAGAAAACACCTTTATTTTTGCTGAAATAATGAAAAAAGTTGTATTTTAAGTGTACATTGTGCTAAAATTTTGGATAGATTTCTCCCTAGTGTGATGTCATCAATGTTTCAACATTTTTCAACTTCTCTTCACAAATTGCGTATTGATTTGTGTAAAACTATCATTTCTATTTACAATCCCACCAAAATTAGAGACTCATCAAAATCTCACATATGGTCCCTTTAAGAGTAGTGATTATATGACTGTTACAATGCACAGTCCAGCGGGGTCCCAGTGAACCATGAAGACCCCGCATCAGCACTTCGTAGTCCGCTGTGAGCCGGTGCTGCTCCCGGCTGTTCACCTTAAGAGCTCATTAACCAAGTCATCAGCCCCTTTTACACCCTTCATTAATTAAACGCCGCATTATGAACACATGAAGAGGTGCCGACTAAAGACTTTAATGATCTTTAATGTTTCAAACGTAATTGTCCAAATTGTCGTCCACTTCAATGCGTCAATGCTTTGGGGCTGTGTTGACGTTGGTTACTAGCAAGTCTTAACTCTCTTTTTTAAGAATATGACTGAAAAGGGCACTTAGATGCAAAAATATGATGCTGGCTCCAGAAACAACTGCACAAGATATTAATACAGATGTGAAACTCACTCAAATCAGCTTTTTTCTACTGATTAACTGTGTATATGGAGTTTTAATAGCATTGTCTACTGTTCTTAGTCCTTCTTTGTCAATTTTTGTGCAAACTAGGTACATTTGGAGCTGCCTCGACTGGCCACTGCAATTTCAAGTACTATGTGACATCACGCAGGACTTCCTTGATAACTGCTAGGTGTTTCAACGCCTGAGTGCAGGGGTGGAGTTTGAAGTGTGGATACTTGTTAGCCCAATCACACTGTTCCTTACACCTCCAAACCCTACTCCTCCTCTTCCTCACTCTTTTCTTTACTCCTCCAGATACTGCCCAGTTTAGCAGCTCTGTTTGAAATGTGGTTGCAGGTGGAGTTTAGTCCTACTTTAAGGATGATGTTTAAGGGTTAAGCCAATCAAGTAACACTAAAAGGTTTTCAATACCAGCCTCTGTTGACACTGAACTTCTCAAAATGTAGTTATTAATACAGTTAATTTAGCTCATACATTAGTTACTTATAAAAAATGAATTTGTATCTTTGATAGACAGGAAAACTGTTCAACAATATATTTTTTCTTTACCTTTTTTTCTGAAATCCATTGCCAATTTTGACCATTATTTATATCAACCTTACCTCAGACCAGAGGTGGGGACTTGCAAGCCGTGACTTGGACTCGAGTCAGACTTGAGTCACTATTTTCAGGACTTGAGACTTGACTTAATAAAATGGACTAAGACTTGGGACTCGACTTGGACTTGGAGGTCAGTGACTTGGGACTTGACTCGGGCTTGTGACTTGAGAAGACTCGAGAAGCACTTTTAAATCTGAATTCTTCACTAAGATTTTGTCAAAACATTTAAAAAGGAAAAATTAACTACATTAATTTCTACAACTTTTACATACTCTATAAATACTCAAATACAAATATACTATGATTTTTTTAAGTACAATTTCTCTTAAAAGTCAAATAAATTGCAAAAACCAAAGCTATATTTGGTACTTTGGTTGACTTGAAATGACTTGAAGCTCAAAGCAGATGTGACTTGGACTTGCCGGTATTTGACTTGGGACTTGACTCTGACTTGAGGTCATAGACTTGAGACTTGCAAAACAAAGACTTGGTCCCACCTCTGCCTCACACACCAACCACACACTACAGCTCAATAACATATTTTACTCTAAGAAAAGGGCAGAAGAAAATATCCAGGACTATTAGTCAAACTCGAAAACAACAAATGCATACAAAAATACAAGATTCATTTTATAATCAGGTCACATTTTAAACATGCCTAAGTGCATACGAAAAACTGAAAGTCTTCAACTATGAACTACGAAACTAATTCAAGACCCCCATGCATTTAGAACATGTTTGTAGAGATCTCAGCTCCAGGGTTAGCAGATTCCATGCATAATAAGGACTTTATAACATCTACATTTCTCTTTTTGATTTCGTTTGCATGTTTTTGTATAATTTCTTTGATTTTTCCTCTTCCTAATTGAACCCAGTGGGCTACATATCCTAAACTCTGTTCCCAATGGAGTTCCTTGTATGAGAATGATTGGAAAGAGTCTAAATCAATAGTACAACAGTCCCACAGATCAGCTGTAATTTGCACCCATGGTACGGACACAGTGTCATGATTACGCCTGATTGGTCCTCTTGTGTCCTCTGCTTTTAGCCTGTGATTTCATTTCTTATTCTCACCCCAGATTACCAAGATTTTAGGTGTAGTATGAACACTATGCACTGGAATTTACTGGAAACATAATATAATGATATATGATATATCATTTGTGTTGACAGGATCTCTAATGAATTCAATCAAGTAATACCTTTTTATTTTGTGATTTTATAATATCTTTGCTGATGGACACCCCAATATCTCCACAAATTTAAAGGGCCCTATTATACTATTTTCTGATCTACGTTATAGTGTTGTCTCCTCTTCAAAACACATACAAACTCTTCTTGTCTCAAGCAAAAAACACTCTTTTCCACATTGTGATGTCATGTGGCAATACAAGAAGTGCTCCACTATGTTTTTAAAATCCATAAACCTTCACTAGAATCATTTGGATCATTTCAGCCCTGGAATTTCCAATGTGTATTGAACCAAAGGTAAAAGGAGCTGTTAACTTGAAAACTACCGCTTCATGACATCACAAGATGGAACAGAGCATTTTGAGCTTTGGAGATGTAAACAGACTAATAATAAAGTATTACTCAAACATGTGAATGAAACAAAACACAACTCCAAGTATGTTTTCAGTGAGGTAACAACATTCTAACATGGCTTAAAGCTCACAAGAGTCAATTTTGTGTCATATAGGACCTTTAATCAAAATAATAATAATAATTTAAACTTTAAAACATAAGGGTTCAAGTCTAAGCACAGGCCAGTTGAGAATCAGACAGTCAAGGTTAGAAGGTACAAAATGATTTGGGAAACTGCACGTGTCATTATGGAGTTTACATCCACTATATAGTATGCACAATAAAATTACATTGCTATGAAATGTAGCTTGAAGTCATATTTTATGGTGTGCTAAATCTGGGGCCGTTTCAAAAGTGCTATGATTTGCAGGGGTAAAAAAACAAACATACTTTTTCATAATAATGTTGAATTTGTTTTCGAGTATAGATATGTGATAACAGCAGCTCTCTCAAATCTGCAAAACTAATTTACCTACAAGTATGAATAAAGCAACCTAACCTAACCTGTTTATCCGTCTCCATCTCCAGTTTTTTTTTATCCTTATCTGTTTGTCCTATACCAGGAAGTAACGCTGTTAGCATGCTCTGGCCTCTGAATGAAAAATTCAAAAATCATTTAAAAAGGCATGAAAGTAAGAAATAACTCCAGACCACTGCAAAAATTAAGAAGTTCATTATAAAGACAGTCAAATTTCGACATAGCGCCATTAAAACAAATGGAAATTTCAGAGTCACATTTTTTCCCAATCACATTGTTCTTTCCAGTTGCTTGTATAAATTTATTTATTCTTCTTTGAAGCATATTCAAAACCAATTAAAACACTTTGGGGACATACTATTTGATAGAGTGTGTCATTGCAGTCAACAAAGCTGGCATTTATTTCATTTATGTCTTAATCCTCTTTAATGCTTGTGAAATTATTTTTAAAACCTGTCTCTGAGTCATATTTAAGAGGCTAAGTGTGCCAATGGGAGATGCGGTTTCCTCCAGAGAGAATAGCATTAGCCACTTTAGTCAATCTTCAATCAATTCTGCATCCTCTCTATCCTTTGTGCACTTTTGAATCTCAGTATCATTTTTCCTCGCACATTTATCCAACCATCTCACATCAATTGTCGCCGTACAATAGTCTCCCCACATTTTTGTCATTTAGTCAATCAATATGACAGAGATTTTTTGTTTGAATTGGAGCCACTTTGCACAATTCGCCTCTCACTCTTCACTTAAACGATTTGGGCTCCTGCATATGCCACCAATTTTTGCTGACAGACACAAGAATGGCCCAAAGTAATAACTATGCAAATTGTCCTACGCTCGAATCTCAATAGAGCATATTTTTAGAGGGTTGTGCAAAATGATTAATCCTTTTATTTTATCTCTCTCTCTCTCTTCTTCCATCTAAAGTTGATCTGAACCGGCTCTACGATGACGTTAAGCGATATAGCTGCACGCCGCGGAACTTCTCTGTGAATCTTCGCGAGGAGTTGAGGGTGACAAGTGCTGTGTTCTTTCCTCGCTGTCTGCTGGTCAAACGTTGTGGGGGGAACTGCGCATGTGGTACAGCAAACTGGAACACCGGATGTACCTGCCAACCCTCCAAGTCCACGCAAAAAATGCACGAGGTGAGGAAAAAAAAAAGATCTGAAAACTAGGGTCCATTACCTCCTGAATAAACGCAAGGTAGATAAGTTTAATGCTACTGTGGAACATTTCAGATAAAGAAATCTTCATAGCAAAAAATCAGATGACAGACCCACCAGAAAAGTTACACAATGCGCCTTTAAAGCACACAAGTTGATGCTGAAGTTGCATTGTTTTCCCCTCATCAAATACCCAGAGTTAACAGAAAGTTGTCTTCTCTGAGCTTCAAAAATGACCAGGTTGCAATTTGCCCAATTTGTTGCATCACAGGTAAAAATCCAGACTTTTTCTGTGTAATTTTTAAGCACATATACCATCACTGGACATGTTTTACAGTCAAACTGTGTTCACAACAAATGTATGGCACTATTAGCCTATTCACAGGGCCTAAGGGCTTAATTTACTTATTTTCCCATTGTTCACAGATTTAATGATTAAAAGGGGAATTAAAACCACAAAATCCATAATATGTGGTCTTTAAACAAGTATTGACATTGGGACTAAATATTGAGTACTGATATTGAAAAAGCATTTGTCTTTGTTATCAAAATCAAGTCTGAGTTTGAGTTTAGCATTATGACAGTACTATTTCTGGGCCGTTTGGGTATGTGAGTGCAGGCTTATCAAAGTTATTTCTTCTATTTGTCCTAAACAGTAGATTTAGTCTCAGCACTTAGCTGCCTTTGTAATCATGAGAGCAGTTCATCAATCCTGGTGTCCAAAAAATACCGAAAATGCCATCAAGGACATGGTTTACAGCGTCAATAAATAATGCATCCCTTTTCTATTATAAAATATATCAACTTTTGGTCCACTAAGGGCTCCCCAAGAGGAAACCGCACAGGGCCAAGAAGAAGCTCAAACAGGCTCTGAAATTGGCACTAATTGTCCATTAGACTTGAGCAGAATATCATGTGTATTAGCTCTTTATACTGCTGTCCGGGTGATCCCTCTAAAACTCCTTACTGTGTCTTTAAGTGCCAGGACAGAGACAATAGGGGAAGGCTCGTGCCATAGATTTTGTGGCCCATATAAAATGTCAAAAGGCTTTTTGGCCGGGGTATCTGTCTTCTGAGTTTATGAAGCCAGAAGAAAACTGACAAGAGTTAGGGGGGAGTTTAGAAGGCATAGAGCAGTGTTTCACGGCTAATAAAATCTAGAGTGTACCTTCTTTCTCAAGTGGGCTTCATGGCCCAACATTACATTATGGAATTTCACTTTTTATCAGAACTGAAGGCTGTACTGTAGCTATAATAATCACGGTTAATTGGTCAAATCCCGGTTAACTGATTAAATCTATCATAAATATGCCAAAACCATGCATGGTCTTTTCACTGTGAAACTAAACATGAAATCAACATTTTTTGCTACTAAACTCTGAATAACAATATTATCTATTGTTTCTTCCTTTTTTGCAGTTTTAGAGTAAACTAGGTCTATTTACAGCAACAGTGAAAAACTGAGTGTATGCTGCCTCCAGTGGGCACTGCCACCTCAAGTACTACATGACATCACACAAGACTGCCCTTATTTGAAGTGTGGAGACCTGTTCTCATTCCCATTTCTCCAAATAAGACTGGGCACCAAATTTTGATCATAATGTGATCCCTGTGAAGTTAGTTTGATATTGTACTATTTAATGCAATTATACTCAAATACAGACACTTTTCCTACACTCCTATTGGCCAGTCTGTGGTGAATTCGACCAATCAGAGTGAAGTGGGAGATAGTAGCAGTTCCCTTTTAAATGTGGTATGAAGCTACTTTGAATATCGCGATAAAATTGAAAACGTGATCTAGGCTCTGGAGAATTTAGATTTTCTTTTTTGTTCACATTAATCACCTAAAACTTTCCCTAAAAATTTCAAAACAACATATTCTAAATTTTTCATTATTCATCCCACTTCTACCACAAACGGCAATGAAAAACTGAAAATCCAAAACAGCTCAAAATATAAAAAAATAAAATGGAAAAACTTAGTCGGTCCCAATGTATAGCCCCTTAAATGATCCCAGTTCGACAGCTCTGCATTGGCCCGACATGAACTTGGAGATGGCTTGTGGCAGTCAGTTAGGGAGCACAGGGGAGTGGGGAGAAATTGGCCGTGCGAGAGCCAGCCCCTGCATTCACAATGAAGCAGCAATGCACCACTGGCAAGCTATAGTCTCCCTCTCTCTCTGTCTGTCTGTCTCTCTGTTTCTCTCTCTCGTCATCCATCTCTCTCATCATCTCTCTCTCATTATCTCTCTCTCATCACCTCTCTGTCCCCATCTCTCTCTCTCTCTCATCATCATCTTTCTCTCGTCATCTCTCTCCCACTATCTCCCTCTCTCATTATATCTCTCTCATCATCTCTCATCATCTCTCTCTCGTCATCTCTCTTTCTCGCTTGCCATCTCTCTCTCGTCATCTCTCTCATCATCTCTCTCTCTCGTTATCTCTCTCTCGACATCTTTCTCTCTTCATCTCTCTCTCGTCATCCCTCTCTCTCGTCATCTCAATGTCTCTCTCTCTAGTCATCTCTCTCCCTCTCTCATCATATCTCTCTGTCTCGTTATCTCTCTCTCATCATCTTCCTCTCTCTCCTCAAATCTCTCTCCCATCATCTCTCTCTCGTCATCCCTCTCGCTCTTGTCATCTCTCTTTGTCTCGTCATCTCCCCCTTTCTCTCTTCAGCTCCCTCTTTCTCTCTTCATCTCTCTCTCATCATCTCATTCTCTCTCGTCATCTCCCTCTCTCTCTCTTCATTTCTCTTTCTCATCATCTCCCGCTCTCTCTCATCATCTCCCTCTCTCTCTCCTGTCATCTCTCTCTCTCTCTCTCTCTTCATCTCCCTCCTAGTCTCTCATCATTTCCATCTCATCAGCTCCCTCTTTCTCTTGTCATCTCTCTCTTTCATCATCTCTCTCTCAACTCCCTCTCTCTCTTCATTCTCTCTCATCTGCCCCTCTCTCATCATCTCCCTCTCTCTCACTTCATCTCTCCCCCTCTCTCATCATCTCCCTCTCTCACTTCATCTCTCCCCCTCTCTCATCATCTCCTCTCTCTCACTTCATCTCTCCCCCTCTCTCATCATCTCCCTCTCTCTCACTTCATCTCTCTCCCTCTCTCATCATCTCTCTGTTTCGTCATCTCTCTTTCTCTCTCATTTCTGTCCTCCACTGGTTTCTACGCCATCTAGTATTCCCAAAATTCCCCCACTCGTCCCTATCTATCCATCAACCCCATCCCAATTCCCATTTTCAATTTGTTCTTTTGCACAACGCCATTTTAAGCCAGTCATTCAGTGCTTTGTCCTGCTTTCCGGTATCTCAATGCGGTTTTGTTCTAGCGTGGCTTCAATATTAAAAATCAGCTCTTGTGTTGCGCTGCCTGTTAAGAAGTCGTACAATGGGACCGGAGACAAAAGTGGGATTTGGGTAGTAATTCCTCCTCGTGTATTTGAGCCTGTGTGTGTAAATGGGGGCGTTTATGCTGGAAATGCATGAAGTAGTATGTGACAGCCTGACAGCCATAGGGTTTAAACTGTTCCACGCGTTTGGGATCATTTCTAAGGGAGCCTGATATTTGGCACTGTATTGTTCCAGTGCTGGGGCTCTCCTCGCTCATAAATCATGTGCAGCAAGGAGGAGAGAGAGTTCACTACATCAATTTTAGAACAATTTGTACTCATGTAAGCTATTTGCGAAAACCTGTATTTGCACAAAAGTGACTCAAAGTTGGGGTATTGATAAATGGTGCATGTTGGGGGAGTGCTGCCGGCTTATTGTTAAATCTGCATATTCTCCCTGTGGGGTTTCAATGCATTTTTATGTTTCTATTGTGGTATTCTGTAATGCAATTGTTGTAATGCAAAAGTAACTGAATGTGCAAACCTCATGTAGATATCCCCATGGTTACAGCAGAGTGACAAAATCGACTTCAAGGTGCATTGTGTAACTTTTCTAGTGCAGGTTCCGTCAAATGCTTATTTTTTCTTCACAGAGATGTTATTGCTTTGCCTGGAATGTTTCACAAATTGGTATTGAACCTTTTTATCATCATGGAGACCAAATCAGACCAAGTTACAATCAGATCTTTGGAGAGGCGATCTCTCGCTCACATTTGGAATGCTTTTTTCCAGGCAGAGCAATGAAGGACCCTCAACCAAAAAGTTACACAGTGTACCTTTAACCATCTCATAGTAGTTCAAGAGGAGGTATTATGCAAAATTGACCTTTTAGAGATTATCAGAAAATAAGCAATATTATCATATTCGATGTTCAGCCCACAAGCGTACGTCATCCATACTTTTATACAAAAGCATGATACAAAACAATGCACTACAACTTCACAAACCTGATGTGATGTGCAGTAGTTTCATCAGCGGGATGCACAGTCTGAAGGAGGAGTGACTTAGTGCAAAAGAACAGCAAATGGAGGGTCAAAAATGAAACTGAAGCTTATTAAACATTTTAGTATGTTGTTTTTGGTGAATATAGCAGCAGTAAATGGTAACATGGTGATCTAAATTAGCCTAACTTATCAGCCGGTTTCACTTTGTGGAAACCGTCTGACCTCGCCGCATTAGGATTCGTTCGATTGATGGAAGGCGGGTATTTTTTTATTTAACCAGTCCCTGCTATTCGTGACATATGTAATATGCCACTAACGGGGCTAACTTTAAGCTTTTCCCAAACCCCATAGGACAAAGGGTAATAACATCTTTCCCCTTGATAAAATTCACCAAACATTCTCTTTGTTCTGGCTTTAAATCCTCGATCTCAGGAATTGATACCAACATAGAATGTATGGCTTCGTCTACATCCATCTCCACCTCTTTGTTTACTGTTGTGCTGTACCACAAAAAAGGACCTAGACAGGTGCTTGAGTTTAACGTCATGGCTTCACAGCTCTTTGCTGATTGGCCGGTGCACGGCCTACAACTTCCAGGGTTCTTGCAAACCAACCAGTGTATTTTGATTCCTGACCTACTTGCTCGAGAGAAATTAAATTGAGTGGAGGCATTAGGTAGCACCAGCCTGGCTAGATCTAAATCTTATTGTTAGCAATTAATGCCCCATAGAAGTGTAATAACCCTCTTTAATGAATATGCAAGAACTCAGTAGAAATAATAACAAAAAAATTTACAAAGCAACACATCCAAGTAAAATAGAACTTTAGTCAATAAACATTATGAGGTCACAATATCAGAATATTCCAGTAAAAAATGGTATTAGTCTTGTATTTTAAGAGAAAATTTGAGCATAGGAGAAAGCCTTGAATCATGATATAATCTAACGCTCGTCAGATTATAGTTTGATTTTCTATTATCATATTGCCTAGAGGACACAAGGGATGATATGAATTGTAATGACGTTTTATAGTCATTTAATGTGCAATTAATCCAATTTTTATGGAGATTGAGATTCAGTTATTTCTAATCATCAGTGATATATGCTTGGCACTTTTTAATCACAGCCAATCCTGTTTTAGCCTTTGGAGGAATTTGACTTTTTTGTGTTAAATGGCAATAAAAACAATAGTGTTATAGTATGTTCTGGAAATTATAATATAGAAAGTCATTTTAATTTGTTTTTAAAAGCCCTATATTTCATGATCTATGTTATAATGTTGTTTCCTCATCAAAAACATACCTGAAGATGTGTTTTGTTTCATTCAGAAGACAGTAAAATCAAATCAAAAACCATAACTGAACCTGATTTCTGCTGTGTTTTGCAGGTGCTCAAATACTCCCCAGACATGTCCTCCCAGCGCCATCACCGATCGAAGGTGCGCTGGGTCATCGGGGAGATCTTCCTCACACATCATGAAGAGTGCGAGTGCTCGTGTCCAAACCAACCGCCACGCTGAAGAACTGTGCATACCCCTGCTCACATATAATACTACAACAGACTATGGAACAGCTCGAACGCAAGTGAACCAGAAGCTACAAAAGGACCAAGAGGATTTCTAACAGGACACAACTTTTAAGCTATAGCCATGTTGTTTTGGCATCAATTCTTCCACTTTCCTATATACATCAGCCAAGGATTCTAATTATTTTCACTCATGATATTTGAGGTTGGATTAAAAAAAAAATATATATAATATATATAATATATATATATATATATATATATATATATATATATATATATATATTGTAAAATAAAACAAAAAAAATTAATTGAATCCACATGGAGAATTTCAGTATTTTTCTACCCATGATTCAACTATCCCTAATTTCTAAATCTCCAAATATGAATATTCTTCCTATAAAGATTCTTAACTTAATTTATTAAACTTTTGCTTCCACTTCTTTCCAATCCATGTTTATTAAGATCTTATATTAGTCTACTTTCTGATCTATGTTATAATGTTGTTTCCTCATCAAAAATTTACCTGGAGCTGTGTTTAGTTACATTTACACATGAAAAAGATGCTCAGTTGTGTTTTTAATCTCCATACACCTTCGCTAGAATCATTAGGAAATTCCAGGATTGAAATGATCGAACTACAGGTAATGGTAACTTAATTTGAGATGTCAACGAATACTTAAATGATTACTCAAACGTGTAAATGAACACAACTCTGGATAACATGGTTTAAAGCTCACAAGGTCCTGTATTTCACAAAAATGAGTAATCATCCAAGTGATTGTGACAGAGGAGCACTTTGTGTAATGCATAACATCACTAGGTTAGTGTGACCAGACGTCCCTATTTACCTGGGACAGTCCCAGTTTTGAACCCTGTGTCCTCTGTCCCAGCAGATTTATCCAAAACCATTGATTTGTCCCACTTTTATACAAGAAATATCCCAGATGTCCCTATTTTTGACCAATCTGATCCCTACCAACAGTAAAGAGAGGCATAAATTGTAATTTGTTTCGGTAAAATACAGAAAAGTTGCTTTAAAATGATCAAAACACAAAGAAAATGTGACTATACTGACTCACATGTTGTAGTCACAAGTGGTCTCTGCATAACAATTTTCCTTAATTACGCGCTTTTTTCACAATATTTTCAGTTTAAACTCATCTTAAACATGCTGGTTTCTGTGTCAAACATGTGTGAATGAAACAAAACACAACTCCAGGTATGTTTTTGATGAGGAAACAGCATGATAACAGATCAGAAAACAGCGTAGCATGGGCCCTTTAACTGACGCACAGTGTATGTCTTTTGTCAACAATGTATTTCATTCGTCGCCTACAGCCCTGGAGGACACAGGTTTTCCCTCCATCTTTGTTTTGTCCACATTCCAGGCTGTCCCTCTGCACTCTCCCTTCCCGTCTCTAGTCTTTTGTCTCTCAGCTCTGTGTTAGTTTTTGGCCTGCTCCCCTCTCACTCTCCAATACATCAAAGCACATGTCAGATAAGAGCGCCGTGCCTCTGTGCCCAGGGCCCTCAGCGTTCCAGGCATTCCAGACTAACGGGAGTTTTGCTAGCACGCTGGAGAGGTGGGAAATGACACAAGAGGGAGCAATAAATACATCAGGATAAAAATTACATCTGCTTTTTAAAGTAATGACTTGGGTTTATGGCAGTGAGGCAGCATGTGAGACAAATCTTAAGATAGAAACAAAACTGATCAAATGTAACAATTAAAGGTGCACTGTGTAATTTTTCTAGTGAGGGACATACCACTTGTTTGTCGCCATGGAGAGGTTATTGTTTTGTTTGGAGTGTTTCAGAGTATGGGATTAATAGCCTTATATTATGTGATATTGGTTAAATTTGAGCCATGTTATAATGTTGTTACCAACTCAAAAGCATGCAGAGTTGTATTTCATTCACACATGTTTGAGTAATCCTTATTATTATTAGTCTTTCTACATCTCCAAAGCTCAAAATGCGCTGTTCCACCTTGTAATGTCATGTAGTTAAAGAGACAGTTCAGAATTTTGCACATAGGGCCTCATTTTCTAGTGAGCGTTGGAGATGTGTGGAGACACTTTTTAAAATATTCCATTCAGTCCTTGTATTTGCAGAGGTCGCTGGTGCTAGGCTAGTGCATGTCAATGGCCATAGTTAGCGTGACACTAAAAACAGTCTTACCCACTCCGCAAAACACCTGAAGCAAAACAATTATAACGCCAGACTGTCGATGTGAATGTCTCTGTCGATAGAATAATTTTAGAAGTAAAAACAACCTTGCATTTGAAGGATTTATGTCTGAGCAGCAGCAGCAGCGAGTTGTACTTCCTGATAGAAAGCTCGGCAGTGACATACTGATAAATGAGAAAATAGTCTCTCAACATGCGAAGAATCATGGGATGCAAGGTTAGTTTTATTTCAAACATTATCCTATCAACACAGACATTTACATTGACAGTCTGGTGTAATAACAGATTTGCTTCGGGTGCTTTGTGGAGTGGGTAAGTTTGTTGTTTTGTGGCAGGCTAACTATGGCCGTTGAAGTGCACTAACCTAGCACCAGCAACCTTTGCAAATACAACGACTGGATGGAATATTTTTAAAAGTGTCTCCACACGTCCCAAAATTCAGGGCCTCATTTCTTACTTAGCCAGTGTCCAAAATTTTGAACTGTCCCTTTAACAGCTCAACTCAACTCAACTTTATTTCTAGAGCACTTTAAAAACAACACAGTCAACCAAAGTGCTGTACACAAACAGAAAACAAACAGTGACAAATACAGTGACAGTGACACGTACAGATAAAATATAATACAATACAAATACAGGTAAAAAGTCAACCCTCAAACTGTGTTAAAATCCAAGGGGAAAAAAGTGTGTTTTTAGTAGGGACTTAAAAACAGACAGTGAGTCGGTCAACCTGATGTGCAAAGGGAGCCAATTCCACAGGCTTGGAGCAGCTTGGAGCAATCATCCACATGATTCCAGTGAATGGAGTTTACAAACACTGTGGAGCACTTCCTGTATTACCACATGACATCATAAGCTGGAAAAGAGGACTATCTGACGAAACAGCATTATAGCATAGATCAAAAAGGGATATTGGCTCTTTAAATGCATCTAGCGATTTTGCATGGAGATAGATTTAATGCCTTTTTGTGAAACCTTTCAGACAAAGCAATAGTATCTCTATGTAAACAAGCATGTGATGGACCCTCACTTGAAAAGTTTTAGTGCAAGATTTAACATTTTGAGTCAATTTCTGGCACATCCCTATTTTTGAGAATTTTAAATCTTGGTTTAAAGTCATTTCAACCATCAACATTGAGCTCGCGAAGAAACCAAACCTCCCACTTGTGTTCCCTGTGGATAGGCCCAGCACTCTCGGGGATAATAGTGAGTAATCACCAGGACAAACTGTTCTTTTATACAAGACCGTAACAGTGGTAACAACTCACATCCATTCATTTTTGATTCCCACTTCCAACATAAAAATAATTACACAAAAGTACAGTTAGTTTTTGTATTCGAAGGTGTGGCAGCAGTAATTTTAAGATGGCAATACTGAGCCTGATTTTTACAGCCTTAAAAATGTGCAAAACTAGTTCAATTTAAGCAGTTTGCAGTGGTCCAAAGTCATTTCGTCACTTTCTTAATGCATGACTGTAACAATAACAACGACTAGCAAAGTTAATAGTGGTTCGAGGATGATAAAAATGGTTTGATTAGACACTGACAGCACGCAAGAACCTTTTATTTTTAGTATTTCTTATATCCTATAAGGTTAGGGCACTGTGGCAAAACAATCTGTACCTTATTACATGAAAAAAAATCTGCTGTCCCTTTAAATCTTCACAGCCATGACCAGGCAATAAGAAATAAGACCTGCCATCTTTCTTCTCTCCATCCTCCCCTCCCCATGTGTCCCTCAAGTCCCCTCTACATAAAGACAGATGCCGCAGTGAAAAATGGAAGCTTTTGTTCCAGAGACAGTTGAGATTGGAGATTCTGACACAGAGATGATTCTTTGGTCACAGTGAAATGCGATGGTGTAGTCTTTCAGCCTGTGCGTGTGTGCGTTGGGCGTCATGGGCCTTATCCACCAGCTGTACAGCACCTTCACATAAACTTAGGTTCTGACATTCCCCCATGCGCATGTGTCAATCCTGTGACTTCTGTAGTGTAAAAAATACCTTTAGATTATGTTCGTGCACTTAATATTAGTTTTTAAAGGTTCTATATCATATAAAATTATCTCCTGTGACATTTAAGCCATGTTATATTGTTGTTATCTCCTCAAAAACATACCAGGAGTTGTGTTTTGTTTCATTCACACGTTTGAGTGACGTTGCATTATTACCGTATTTTCCAGACTTTTGAGCGCACCTGAATATAAGCCGCATCAACTAAATCATCAACAAAATTTTTAAATTGTACATATATAAGCCTCACCTGAATACAAGCCCCAGGTGTCCACATCTTCAAGAACGGTTTCAAGTTTGGGCCATCTGCTTTTATCACCTCTGAAAGCTTTTGTCGTCTTTTTGCATTGAGTCAGTTCGTCACGCTGCCATCGCCAAAGTCTCACCATCGACTCTTTGATGCTGAGCTCACGTGCAGCAGCTCTGCTTCCTTCTTCAACAGCCACATCAGTTGCTGTTAACTTAAAAGCTGCAGCATCTGCATTTCTTCATGTGTTTTCCACATGAAGGGTGTGTGTATGAAGCGCAAAATAATTGTTCAAAACACAATCAAACGAGCATCTTCCTCGGCACATCACCCCCATCTCTCCCTGCACTCAACGGCGTATGACTCCTGCAAGAGCCATTGTCCTGTCTGTATCATGTCAGGGTCTGTTCACACATTTTATCGGAAGTGCCTTTTGTTTAGACGGTGACGGTGTTTTTTGGGCTTAAAAATGCAAAAATCTGAAACCACCCTCCAGAGTAGAAAAGTTGAATACGCTCTGCTGTAGCATTTCCATCTACACTGCCCAAGACATAAAACTCTGGTCAGATCTGCTCACATCACGTACGCATTTACATCACATACATCACCACCTAGTGTCACCACCTAGCCACCTGGCATGCATACACAATCAGTTCCACACACTTTTGCGTCACCATATGCACACAGATTTCCTCCCGAAAACGCTGGTCTAA